CCGCGTTTTCCGCTGCTGCACTTGTCGCCACTCACATCGCCCCGCCCCATCGCACGCCAACTCTGCACATCGCTGTTGTCCACGGCCCCGCTACCGTACCCCTCCTGCGTCATGCTCACGATGTCCTGTTCAACTTGGCATCCAAGGGAATCCACGTTTTCTTGCAGACAGAGGTCGAGGTACCACCTCCCACAAACATTGCCCCAATCACGAGTGACACAGTTCCGGACGTTATCGCCGCAAGCGCAGCAGACTTCTTCGTCGTCATTGCAGATCGAAACCTTCCAGAGCGCACTGTTCAAGTGCGCCTCTCGCCTTCTGCAGAATTTCTCACAATCCCTGCTGCCGACTTGCGTCATGCTATCTTCGAGTCGTGGATGTGCACAATTCGCGCGTATCAAGACCCCGTCGCCCTTGAGGCTCTCGCCAGGAATCCCAACATCGTCACGGACGCACATATTGACAGCTTGCTTCTTGCCTGCGCTGGCATCCCGACACTCAGGCGCTCTTACGCCACATTACTGCGGCTCGTCAGTGTCACACATGACTGGGAATATCCCCTACGCACTTCGCAGAAAAGCCAATACACCCCATATCTCAGACATGAAGACACCTGCGATATCCCCGATGCCCAAGAGTGTACCGAGCGCCCGAAAATCGATGCCGGCACACCTTCAATTGAGCAGCGCCTTTCTGATGCCCACCCTGTGTCGAAGACAGATGGTTTACCGGGAAGCAAAGCGAATGCCAAATTGAAGGACGAAGTTCCATGCAGCGTAAACGGCCGAGCCATGGTAGAACGCGCTTTGCATGAGGGCATTAAAGCCATCTTTCACATGCGTCGACAAAACGACGACCCAACTGCAAAGAAGAAACCGAGGATTAGCCCTAGATCTAATTTGTCCATCACATGGCTGAAAAGGAGCACTGATATTGCCGCCAGAACACTTCGTTCTCAACTTCTCGTTTGGTCTATGCATCAACGTCTTCTCTCTGCCTATGACGTCGTCGCAACACTACCTGTATTGCATATGTCAAGCCCCAGAAAGCATACTCGACCGACCCATTTGCCATCCGCAGCGGCTCGAGAGCGTTTGCTGCGTGAAATCAACGAGCTCCTTCCTCGCGTGGAAGAGATTGGCAGTCGGCTGACGAAGCGACCGAGGATCTCCCGTCGGCGAAAGTGCTTCTTTGAGTCTGACCCGTGGACCGTTTACGTCAAGCGTTTGCAATCATCTGTTTGCGAAGATGGAATGCGAAAGCACGCCGCGGGATGCGCTGGGCATCAGTTAACGACTGGGACGCTTGACAAAGCATGGAGATGTTGCGCCTGTCTTTCGTACAACACCTTACCTTTGTCGATATGCAACGTTTGCAGCTCTCCATACTGCGAGATGGAAGAAGCGTGGGTTGAGGACCACAGTACATTGTTGAACCAGCGTTTCAAAGCAGTGCTCAGCAGTGGTACGGCCGCATCCACACCTTGGATATTTGGCCAAACTGTGCTTCCGACTCAGCACCGGCTTCCAAATGGCTCTGATGACAGTACTTTATCAGTCGGAGGGGAGAGGCGCAACGTTCCGATCAGACCACCACACCAGAACGAAAACCGACACCTGATGTTGTCAAAGATAGCCAACAGTCCCCTTTCGTCACCAGAGGACAACAGCGGGATGGCCCTTCCGCCCGGCTTTGACCTTATTGAGAGGTTCAATACGAGAATGTCTTTCGGGGACCCAAACCACACTGTTCGCAATGATGTCAACCACAGGGCCCAAGGCAACTGCGATACTGGGCAACGCCTCGCACCAATTTCCAATCACGTAAATCCTGTGCCCACACATCGACCTTCACAAGTACGTCCTGCGCGCTTGGCCACGTCCGCGCCGAATGGTCCCTCACTGATGGAGATGGATATGTCTCGCAAGATTGGCCTTCGCATGGATTCTCATGGTAGACGTGAAACTCCATCAGACTCAGAGTTCTCAAGAGGATTGAACCTGATCAATTCAAGTATAGATGATAATTACGTGGGGATTCCACTGAGCACTTCCGTTGGTGTCCCTCCTTTTCTGAGTCCAGAGGGTTTCGCATCCTCATTACCGCACGATTTATCCCCGATACAAAGTTTTGGGGCACCGAGTGTCTACGGTTCTTCACTCCGAAGAGAACGCCACTCCAAAGCTAACTCCAAACAGCAAGAACAGACGGAATCAAATCGTCAACCAATACGAAAAACTGTGTTTGCTAATAGTGGATTCGAAGAACTGGCACAGGGATCATATGAGGCGGTCGAGGACACCCAATCTTCGTTAATGGATCGAATGATGAAAGGGACAGCCATAAATATTCCGCCTTCGAATTCACCTGGTGAGCCATCACAAGATGAAATTGCTGCCCGAGAGGCTCTTGCTGCGGCAATTGATGCCGCAAATGGAGGGACTGGTTCTGCTACGAAGGAATCACTCCGCGCAGTTTCAGCCGTGGTTTCATCTGGTCGAGGCCATTCGGGCTCTCAAAGCGAAAGCCTTCAAAACGGGACTTACAACATGTTTTGAGGGTTGAGATCCAGAGCTCGGTGCGTTGAGAGTGAAATCTGACCTGGTTTAGTTAGTGTACATATCTCGCTCTTCTATAGCATGTGTCGAGAGGTCGAGCTCATGCAAATGCCTGTACAGCTGGGTCTATTCCCATGCCAATCAGTCGCCAACTTCCAAGCGAGTAAGCGCTGCGGCTGCAATAACATCTATAGTAGCAAGGAGCCGTAGATTTTAGTCAGGGCTGAGTTGTAAAGTAAGATCAAGCTGAGCAACACACATTGCAAATTCTGGACATTGAACGACGGAATCGCTTCCTCGAGAAGCTTCCTTTCATTTCGTAGCAGGGGGCGCAGGCCTGCGCCTTCTTCTCATCCCTTGGCGTTTCTCCGCCCGCCGGACAGCTTCAAGTTGGGCCTCCCATTGCCGATGCAATGAGTGATCTTTGGGAAGAGCTGGGAAGCCGATGTCCTCGAAGAAAGCATTGATGATCTTGTGATTCTGCACGATAGCCGAGACTCTACCCGAATTCTCCTTCTTGCGATGGTTCCCTTTCTTTGGTGCAGCTCGGGACTCCTTCGAGACATCTATCGCGAGCAAGTTGAATCTGCACCACTCACGCAGCTTTTTAGCGCTGACCAAGCGAGCCGCAAGCGATGGAATAACCCCGCTCTTCATTCCGATACGCCTTGATTTTCTGAGAGTGTAGTCTCTGCACAGACGTCTTACGCCAGTGGGATAGTAAGGCTAGAAATTTGATCAGCCTCAAGTGGAGACAATGACACCCGAAGCAAAATGCTTCCCTTTGTCATGCTTCTGCTCGTCGTACCGGGCAGTGAAAGAACGGCACCGCACTTTCTAGCGAGCTAGTCTAGCTAGGGAGAAGCAATTCAAACTGAAGGCAGAGCAAGAGAGTGAAACGGGGAATAATTGGCACGTGTCAAAAAAAAACGACTTTCTGCGTGGAGTACAAAAGGGGCCGATTTGCTCCAGTGCAGATATGTATTGGCACTGTTTATTCACAGAGCGATGTGATCAAGGCTACTCAGCAATCAAAAATATGAGCTCTGGACGGCATGCAGGATGCTTACATGCTGAGCCTTTCCCAGAGGCCTCTATCGTTCATCGTTCATACCACTGTACATGAGGAAGGGCGACATGTACCATTCTGAGCCTAATTTTGGCTAAAATCTGAAGCCTCACATATTTTGACGACCACAGCCCCTCTCAATCGCATCTGCGGGCCGGTTCTCTGGAGAGAAGGTTGCAGTTCCTAAACCTTATCACCCTTCCACCCCACGCCTTGTGCACATCGGTGTTCAGTTTCCATTGCGCAGTTCTGGTTACTGTTGGAGTTTCAGCCGAAGGATCCCGACCAGTGTATGGAGGGCATCGGAAGAGAGATGCGGCTATTGGAAGCATTGCTCTCCATCTGATTTCCAGCTCGCCGTTGTCTCGACGAGATAGCGGCCTTTGTACTAAACTTCAGCCTTTTCATCTACATCACAACTGCAATCCACGTGCTGGAACTTTGATCGCCGCAGCGTTTTCAATCAAGGGAGGTGCAAAGCATCGAAAGCACCGCCCGTACCAATTTGCATGTCATTTTTTTCAACTTCATTTTGAAATCAGGTATGCCAGGCGGAGACCAAAGCAAGCAATCCCCTGCGTCCGACACTCACGCGCCTTCTACGAAGCGTTCTACGCCATCTGATGTCGCCAACGTGAAGATCTTTGACCTTCCCCCCAAGTTGATTCGTCTTATATTCGCGAAACTCGACTCAATCGCGGAGGTTTGCAAGCTCATGGAAGTATGCAAAAAATTTGCCGATGTCGCTAAGAGCCCTGAGTTGTGGAAATGTGTAAAAGCTGAGGATCCCATAACGCAGCGAGCCAGGGATCAAAGCTCGTCACGATTGTACCGCTTTGTTACGTATGAGTCGCGCAAGGACAGGAATGAAGAAATAGGAGCAAAAGACGCCTCAGAGGCTCTCAAACGCAGAAGATGCGGGCTGGCACTGGCTGTAGATGTTATAACATCAAGAGCAGGAGATCAGCTTGAGTCGCTTGACCTGGTCGATTGCTATCCAAACTTTCCACGCTATGATCATCAAATGACAGATGATGACCTTGACGTTATATCGGATCGCTGCTCCAAGGCACTCCATACAGTTCGTTTGAGCCCATCGTCTTTCTTATCCGGCTCCAAAATTCTGAGCTTTGCCAAGGCGTGCTTGAACATACGCGTATTGCACATGATAAGCTGCCCAAGCCTAACTGATATTCTTCTTGGTGAAATAGCACTTGCATGCCCTCGATTGGAAGATATATCCGTGAGCAGGTGTAAGTCGTTCCATGGTGAAGGTCTCCACGCGAGACTTATTCCCGTTCACGACACATTGCGGTGTCTAGATATATCTGAGACTGGCACCGTATTGCTCAACCTTCCAGGTTTTATGCGTAGCTACGCAGTTCTGGAAGAGTTAAATGCGTCCTCTTGCACCGACCAACTGCGGATAGAAGGGCCCCAGCTGGAAGATGACGACTTCAGGTTCAGAACTCTTGTGAGACTAGACCTTTGTGAAGTAGATGTGGACGCGAAACTATTAGATCGCGTCGTTAGTGAAAGCACTCATCTCCGGGAGCTACATTTAAGTCCAGTTGTGCGTTTTAGAGATATGATCGATACTGCGTTCTTGTTCAAGTTGCCATGGCCACCGCTGAAGTTGCTGTCGCTCGAATCTTGTGATTTGCACGATGAAGTGTGGCAAACGTTGTTCAATACGTTATCTCCAAGCCTGACGTATTTGGATGTCGCGGAGAACAGATCGTTGACTTGCTCCTTGGACGTTAAAGACGGACAAGGTTTTCCGTTGTTGAGGGAACTAGATATCAGGCGGACGAGTACCACAGAGGAGACGTTGGAGATGCTGTTGTCGATTTCTCCCGCGCTAGAGTCTCTGAACTCTGTGGGCTGTATGCATATTTCTCGAGGAGTGCGCAAGGACCCGTTTCGCTTGAGAGTGGTGGACGAGTCATCAAATGCGGGGCCCGCCGCATCGCAATCGTCCTCACCATTGGATGCTGCACCTCACATGACACACACGACCACAAGAAATGGAAAATGAGCAAGCTTAGATTTCGAGGTGAGTTGTTGTCGCGTAGCTTCGAAATGTAAATAGGGGGTGGTTGCTCTAAAGTATCCGTGCAAGGGTACGGTCTATTTATGCAGTACGAACTTGGAATGCCGTAGATATGTGAGAATCCTTTGAAAGCGCCAGTATGTAATTGGCTTTGCAATGTGCGTCTTTGGCAATCGCAGTTCAAGATGTCAGAACTGCAGCATAGTCTGCACGAATATGCCGCAGAACGCCCACCTCCTTACCTCAGAAGATAAGCTGTAACACCCTCTCGGGGCGCACTGTCTCCACGAGACGACAATCTAGGAAAGAACAAACTTGAAAATGCCACTGGACTGTGTGTGTGCCTACGGCCTTGGCGGGATACAGGCGTGCCTTTCAGCAAAGAACTGTTTCTACTGTATGGGTCGGAGAGATTCTTCTGCTCGCTGGGAAGACTTGTCAGTGCCAATATTTAATCTGTGTAAAAATATACAGAGAGTGTTTCTGTATATATAAATAAAGAAGCCAATCACTGCTGACCGACATGCAAAAGCCTATGTTATACAAATGTACAGGACTGGAAAAGTGCCAGGTAGAAAGGCCCTCGCTAGACCAGTCATGCTGCTCGGCAGTCCAGTAAATGTAGATTATAAAGCTATGCAGATATTGAGGGGAGAAAATCCGCCGGGTAGAACGGCCGTGAGGCAACTGGTGTAGCACTGCAGCAG